TGTTGATGCAATTTTTGGTCCAAGGTATGAGCCTCATGTTTTCACCTATCTGGATGATATTCTTGTGTGCAGCCCAACTTTTGAGCATCATGTTAATCTTCTAAAAGAAGTTAAAGATAAACTAAAGGAAGCAAACCTTACAGTTAATTTAGAGAAATGTAAATTCTTCAAAACTACGTTAAAGTTTCTAGGCTATGTAGTTGGCTCAAACAGTCTGCGTACTGATCCAGAAAAGGTCTCGGCCATGGTCAATTACCCTCGCCCCAAGTCAGCTACTGATGTGAAGAGATTTATAGGTATGTGTTCATGGTATAGGCGATTCATCAAAAACTTTTCGACCTTAATGTCCCCAATAAATGATTTGTTGAAAGGGCGTAGGAAATCCCAACCAATAACCTGGACGGATGCCGCCGAATCTTCTTTTGTGGCCATTAAAAATTTGTTAGTTTCTGCACCAATTCTGACGCAACCTGACTTTTCTCAACCCTTCATTATTCAGTCAGATGCAAGTAATACTGGTTTAGGTGGGTGTTTGACTCAAGAGATAGATGGTGAAGAGCGAGTGATAGCCTATGCTAGCAGGTCACTTTCAAGAGCCGAACGCAATTATACAGTTGTAGAAAAAGAATGCCTTGCACTTTTGTTTTGTATCGATAAATTTCGCATGTGGATTGAGGGCGCTCCAAAGTTTAAGGCTATTACAGATTGTTACTCGTTACTTTGGTTGAATACCATGAAAAATCCATCAGGAAAACTAGCTCGTTGGTCCATGCGTTTGAGACAACACAATTTCGAATTAGTCCATAGGAAGGGCGTAGATAATGTAGTCCCTGATGCCTTGTCCCGTATGTATTCTGAGGTCGAAGATCCTATAGGAAGTCGAAGTGAGTGCAATTTGCATTCTGTGAATGTTTTGAATCCTTTTGAGGTTGATTTGGATCGCATAGATCTTTGGTACTCTGAGCAGAGAGAAAAAATCATTCAGTCCCCTGAAAAATACCCACAATGGAAAGTCGAAAACCAGTATGTTTTTAAGCTGATCCCTAATAACATCCCTATGGATAGCGATCTTCCGGAGTGGAAATTAGTGGTTCCTTCTCCTCAGGTTGATGATGTGATTCAACACTGTCATTCTCCACCAACATCAGGTCACTTCGGTTTCTTTAAGACTCTCAGCCGAGTTCAAGAGTTTTATTACTGGCCCAAAATGAGGGGTGATGTTTTGAAGTTTGTCAAGTCCTGTTTAGTATGTGGTTCCCAGAAAGCCAGTAATACAGCTCGTATGGGTCTTATGGGAAAGCAGAAAATTATTGATTTTCCATTTCAGTGTTTGGCTGTTGATTTGATGGGTCCATTTCCAAGATCTAAGAAAGGCAGTAAATTTCTACTAGTAGTAGAGGATTGGTTCTCTAAGTTTACTCTCTTGTTCCCTCTACGTAGTTCCAAGTCACCCCATATCGAAAATCTACTTGAAAATCAAGTTTTTCTAATCTATGGCTGTCCACAAATTCTAATTTGCGATAATGGCCCACAATTCATCTCGAAGACTTTCAAGAAGCTGTGTTCAAACTATGAAATTAAGATATGGCACAATGCATTATACTCTGCACAGTGTAACTTTGTGGAAAGGAATAATAGGACTGTGGGAACTGCAATCAGGAGTTATGTGGATGAACATGTCGACTGGGACAAGGAACTTCATAAAATACAGTATGCCATCAATACATCTAAAAACGAAGTTACTCATTTCACCCCTGCGTTTTTGATATTTGGTAGGCACCCACTATTGTCAGGAAAATTTTATGTAGACTGTGAACAACTTTTAGATAAAGATATCGAAGTTACCCCTGGTAATCGAGATGACTACGCATCAAATCTCAGTAATTTGAAAGATATTTTCATCGACATTAGGAAGCGTTTAGATTTGGCTTATCAGAGAAATTCGCGCGCCTATAATTTGCGCAAAAGACCTTTTTCGTTCCATGTTGGTGACTATGTTTGGCGTAAAAATCATATTTTGTCCAGTGCACCCAATCAATTTAGTGCAAAATTAGCCCCGAAATACATCCTTAGTAAAGTACATAAAAAGCTCTCTGATTTGGTGTATATTCTGAATAATTCAGATGGCACTAGAGCAGGTAAATATCATATTAAAGATCTTAAAGTCTACTCAGGTACCGACGTTGACTCTGGAAGTACTGATTCTGAGGATTCTGATCAATAGTTGTCCCTTATATTTAGTTTTGGTTAGTGGTAATGTGTGTGAGTCGCGACACTCATATTTCCATGGAGCCAGATGTTAGTTGTTTGAGTTGTCATTGAACTCAACTGGAATATATAGGATTATTGTACTTCAAATTATAGTTTAGATCAGTCTGTGTACTTGTTGTTGTACGCTAAAAACTTTTGAGTTATAATATCTATGTGAGATATTAATTATGTTTGGATATGCAGTTACCATTTTGGTTATGCAGTTTTTGAGTTATTTAAGCGACACATAGATGTATGTGTTGGCTTTAGTCTATTTTAGACTATGAATATTTTGGTCTTGTAATGGCAATGAGTTATGTAACACTCTTATCAATACAGTTACTGTAAGTGCCATATTGGATTTGTCTTGTGTTAGTACTACTTTGGCCCATACTACTATAAATTGGTTGGCAGTTAAATTGCCAATAAATAAGTTGGACCTCTTCGTACAACACACTTTTGTATTGAGTTTTGAGTAAAGGCTAGGTAATCCTTTTTATATTAGGGATACGTAAGTTGGCTCTAATTGTGACTAAGAAAAATCTATTTTGTAATTTTTGTTAAGGGCCCTGTGGCATGTCGGGCGCTACCCCTCATCACACATTGGATCATGTGTACCCATGGTACGATGGTCTAACTCCTATTGGACTGAGTGATATGGTTGGTGTAATTTTGATTTGTTAGGACCTTTTCTTGCTCAGTTCCATGCATGATCTTTGTTGAGTTCACATTTTTGAGAAGGGATAGTTATCTGGGGTGTCTACTTGGCGTCATTCTGCTACACTGGGTCTGGCCTTAGCTGGGTGGATACTAGGGCGCTCTCCTCAGCTCTCCTAAGTGTTAGGTGTGTGGTAATTGGTGGCGGTGCCATGCTACGGGTATAACCCATGTCAGTTTGTATAGATTTTTATGCTCTTAGGAGTACTTCAGCTGTGGTGGTTTGCTATAATGCCACTAGGGCTTTGACCAAGTCCTGGGTTAATTCCAAATATTTTTTTTTATTCTTTTGTTTTGTTTTTTTGTTTTGTTGGTCCCTTGCTTGGTGTTATGTCATGTTGGGGTCGGGCTGTGTTGGTGTTATGGTTGACACGAGCGAGGGGTAGGACACTGTTAGCCGCCAGAGACCCACCCTTTTTCATCCACGTTGGGAGGTGCTTTCAGTGCCTTCCTTTGTGCCTGCCTGACACTGATAATTGCCTGATCATCTACAGGGTGTGATACTAGCATTGTAGTGTTGGTGATTGTAATATTTTTTGTTTTGAATAAGAAAATTAGGATTTTCTTATTATTTTTGGGAGAGGCAGTGCTTCTGTGTAGCGTAAATTTGGATAAAATCCAGAACTTGGCTAACAGGCATACGGCAGCTAGTAATTAATTCGGAGAGCTATGGGTTCATGAGTCTTGGTACACCCTTATCCTGGGCGCCACCTAGTTAACTGAGTCTCAACTAGGAAAGTTATCAAAGTTCTATAAGCTGAAATGGAGCAATTAAAAAGTTCCCTCAATAAAACAAACTTATAATGTTTCAAGTTTAATTTATCTATTGAATTTTTAATAATTGTCAATACATTTTGAATATATATTGATATTGGATGCTTGAGGAGCAAACGTTAAAGTCTGGAAATTCTATATAGTATTCAACATTAACAAAGAATTTAATAGTTCATAAAAAAACATCAAGGTTACGGTCAATTAATTATATGAAATGGTAAGAGGGTAAGTAGGTACACGGGTAATCGCTAGCAAATTAATATTTACTGTCGAATGACAGTCTATGATTTATTAAATTGTGACGGGCGCCTGCAGGGGGAAAATTCCGGAACTTTGTTCTGCCGCAAAGGATTTAATAATATAAAATTCACTAAATGTTTGTTGATTTACCAGATAATTTGCTAAGACAATAGTACATGTGTAACTTACTCTTGATACTCGTTATTTAATTTCTGAACCATAATTGTCTTCTTTTTTAAATCAATAAAAATTGGGGCACACTCCAGGGCTAGGTTTCCTCCAATAGAGTGAGCTATCGCCAATGTCTTGTAAGGGAAAGCTCAGCCTCAAGACTTGGACACCAACCAAATACAAATTGGGTGCACACGGACTGAACTAGGTCGCAGAATTTGATCTAGGTTCCGGACTTAGGCCTGCACCTGAACTGATCCCGGAGCCTGAACTTATGTTTGAACCAAAACGTGGTCTTAGGACTGGACCCAAAAACGTGGGCTTCGGACTAGACCCAAAAACGTGGGCTTCGGACTAGACCCAAAAACCCTACAACCACAGTTGTGTAAATAAGTGCACAGAAATATAATTAAACCTTACCTCTACGAGGGTTGCTGAACACAAAATACTGATAGGGGAGTCTTCCCAGACGGAACCAACTGATTTCGTACCACACAAGCGAAAGAAATTCAGGCCTATTGTGAGCTCGTACCAAATTTCAAATATTATTTGAATGAGACTCAAAGGCACAGAAAATTCTGTTCGTGACTTCTTGTCCCAGTGCCAGCACGAAAAAGAAAGAAGTTGGAAGAAGGCCCACGCCACGAGGAAGATTTCTTGATACCGGAAAAAGTAAAAAAGGAAATTCCATAAGGGAGGTATTGACTTGACATATGACACCACAGGTGTGTTCACGAGGGAACGATAAAAATATTCGAGCTGTACCGAACCACCTTGGAACGGAGCTAGAGCGAAGGGACTACCTCACGAAAGCACCTATGCCTAAGTAGTTCAAAAAAGAAGAATAAATGTTGACGTCCAACCTAACCAATTCAAAAAACAGAAAGGTAAACAAACAACCTGAAATTAGAAAAACAAACACAGAATTATCACACTCGGAAAAATCAGGCAAATAACATTAAGGAACACTATAGCATAAGCGAAAGGTAAGCTAGAATCATTTCGAGAATCATTTGATTGAATATGAACATAGCCCAATGACACAAAGGTCATTCCTTTTGTATCCTAGCTCTTGTCTACAGATAGAAAGCGGCCGTCAATCCACCTACAAAAAGAACTAGAAGGAAGGTACATACTACAAAATACAATGTTCGAAATTATGAATGACAAAGGACTTGGGGAGTCGAAGCCTCCAGCTAAATGTTGTAAAATAGGACTTGTGCTATGATAGATATTTTGTAGAGAATTAAACATAATGTAAATGACTTATTAAGGAAGGATAAAATCCAAAAATGTACTAAGTATATGTATTAATAAATCCCTTGACGAAAAATGTCCGAGTGATCAAAATTCCAAACTAACATCACAGAAACAATAATCCAAAACTGTAGTGTTTTTAGAGCAAAAATTTAAAAATGCTACATTATAAGTATTTACTTGTGCCTAGATTTTTTAAAGGTAAGATTTAGTTCGTATTATTAATTTGTAATTATCTGATTAACTTGAAAATGCCATAATTTTTCAATCCCCTGAAACTAGAATTTTAAAATATATTTTAGATGTCTTTGCAGACACTCAACAATGTTGCCGCATTCAATTTCGCGACTCTAAAACTGTGCGATCTGGAGCAAAATAAGCCTTATCGAGTCCAGCAAATCCAGGCACTGCAAACCGTTCATGGCCGAAGAGTTATTGTAGACTTGCCGGAGATTCAAAAAATTGTGTTTTTACCAGAAAGATTCAAATGTTTGACCAACGAAGAAATAGACTCGCTGAATAAGCAAAAAAGTATCCATCTGGTTTATAAAGGGAAAAAGACTCTCACAAGTGGTAAAGTGGCAAATGATCTAGAGTTCCTTGAACTCGAATAATAATTAACAAAGTAAGCTATTTCCATTAAAAATTGTATACTAATTTAGTTTTAAGTTTTTACATCTATAAAAAAACATAACATACACTAGACCTAACCCAGATAATTAGATAGCGTTACTCACTAAGCAAATCGCTAATTCTAAAAATAATTAGTCAGCTCAAAGTTTCTATCATCCTTCAACTAATAAACTTAACGTGATAGTTATTCTCTTCAAATAATTGAAAAATGAGCAAACGAATTAAATTAGATTGGAATATTGTTGTTGCATTCAAAGATCCTAATTTTTTAGTAGTATTATGTAATTTTTAATAATAATAAAAAAAAAATCAAACAAACAAATCGTTATTTTATTATCTGTCTTGAAATCTCGACAAATACAATGAGAAAGACCGAGAGAAAAAAGAAGGGAAACAGGAAAAAAGATTGCATGATCCCATGCTTTCGATTAGACTGTAATTGCCAACTACAGTCTTATTGGGAGCTTAGGAACATCCGAATGCTTGATCAGTCAGTCTTTTGACTTTTTTTACATTCACTTTTAAAATCATGAGTATAAATAATTATTCTTTAAATAAAAGTGGGCGATTGATGTTTTTGCTTTTTAGGGAAAAATGCTTAACTGCGAATACTGCGCCAAATCGTTTTCCAGGAAGGATAGTTTGAAGCGTCATGGGGACTGCAGAGCAGCCGTGAAAATTTGCGAGCAATGTGGAGAAATCTTTAAATCAGAGGGGGCTCTCCAACGCCATCTGAAACAGAAACACCCTAGGGCCCCCAAACGCAAGGCTGAAAATTCGTCGGTCCCCATGGCTAAACAAGCTAGACTTGATCATTCTACTGGTGAGTTTTTCGTGACGTTTGTATAGTTTTTTGCTAATTTATTATTTCAGCTTCCACGTCATCTACGCGTAGGTGTTCGGATTGTGACCTGCAGATTCCAACCAGTCGTTGGGCTAGGCATCTGCGGAGTATCCAACACCGGACGAACACCTGTGTGGAGCAGGAGGAAGGCGTACAGCTCGTAAGAACCTCTTTCAAGAACCGAATTGTTACGTACCGGCTTTCTTCAAAACAGCACCCTACCAGGGTAAAAGGATTTTTAAAACATTTGAAACAAAAATTTATCAAGCTGGTAGGGGATAATGTCAAAATATTTGGTCATATTAAAGTCGGCATGGAGCTTTTTGGGCGCTTCCTCCTGCAGACGAAAGATATGGAGGAGGTCAAGTCGTTCAACACCAAATATCAACTGGTGAGCGATGGTACCGATTTAGACGAGGTATTCCAGCAATTTTCAGCCATCATAGATAAAAATGTGTGGAGTTTCAGGAAAAAGAAAGCGGTATGTTTTTGTTTTTTATTAACTGTTAAATGATGAACAATCTATCTTACAGGCTGGGCGCTACAAAAACTACTCCATTTAGATATAGGTGGAAATAAGGCCAACCCTTTGAATGCATCGTCTTATCTGCCGCTACCGCAAGTGATTGACGCTAAGAAAGCTGTCGCGAACTATTCGCCTTTTGAGAACGAGCTGGACTTTACAGGATTGGAATTTCCGATTAAACTCAAAGACGTTGGTAAGTTTGAACAGCTCAATAATATTTCAATCAACGTTTACGGACTCGATGAAGTTTATGAGAATGGTAGAAATATTATTGAAGTTGTGGGTCCCTTACACTTTACTAGATCTCGAAGAGCCAAACATGTGAATTTATTATTAATCAGTAATGATTATGGTAATAGTCACTACTGTTTAATAAGAAACATGTCTCGCTTGATTTCAAGTCAACTATCGAAACATAAAGAGGCTAAGCACTTGTGTCATGGATGCTTGCTGTATTTTTCAACCGAACAGAAATTAAAAGCTCATCAAGAGCACGACTGTGGTCACGTTTCGGTTAAACTTCCGATAATAGACTTGAAGAAAAATAAATACGGAGAAGAGGTTCCCGAGAATATTCTGAAATTCATAAATTTCGAAAAAAAATTGAAGGTACCATTTGTAGTTTACGCTGATTTTGAGACAATCATTGAGCCTGTTGATACCTTAGATAAAGATTTAGATCCCGAAAATTCCTACACTCTAAAAACTCACAAAGCCGTTCCTTATTCTTTCGCTTACTACATTAAATGCAATTTCGACGACTCTCATTCTTTTTTCAAGACTTTCAGGGGACCTGATGCACAAAAAGTTTTCGTAGATTGGTTAGAGACTGATTGCAAATCCATTTATGATCGATTTATGAAAGACATAGTGCCCATGTATCCTCTAAGTCAAGAACAAGAAAATGAGTTTCGCAATGCGAGAAATTGCCATATTTGTGAAAAACCATTTAAAGTAGAAGACAAAAGAGTGAGGGACCACTGTCATTTCACAGGGAATTATCGAGCTGCAGCCCACTCCGTTTGTAATATTAATTTTAAAGCCCCAAACTTCATCCCCATCTTCTTTCACTGTATGACCAATTTTGATTCCCACCTATTTGTCAAGGAGTTGGCTCAAGGAAACGAGAGATTGGATGTTATCCCCCAAAATAAAGAACGGTACATTTCATTCACCAAACATGTTTTGGTGGATAAAATCCCTGTCGATCAATCAGGTAAAAAATATAAACAGGTATTTTTAAAATTGTGCTTCCTCGATAGTTTTCGATTCATGGCATCTAGCCTAGATAAATTATCACAAAATTTAAAGCCGGAACAATGTCGAGAAGTTAGAAATTTTTTTCCCGCGGAAGATGAATTGCAAATGATTCGACAAAAGGGCGTTTTCCCGTATTCCTACGTGGATTCATTTTCGAAACTAGATGACACCAAGCTTCCATCCATTGACGGTTTCTATAATGATTTAAGAAAAGAAGCCATCAATCGGAAAGATAACGAGCGTGCACAAAAAGTATGGAACTTGTTCAAATGTAAAACTTTAGGCCAATATTCAGATATTTATTTAAAATCAGACGTGCTTATTCTGGCTGATGTTTTTGAAAATTTCAGAGACGTGTGTTTATCAACCTATGGTCTGGATCCTTGTCAGTATTATACAGCTCCAGGGCTATCATTTGATGCAGCTCTCAAAACGACAGCCATAGAGTTGGAACCACTGACGGATACAGACATGATACACTTTTTGAAACGTGGCATTCGCGGAGGGGTAAGTCAGTGTAGTGTAAGGAAAGCTACTGTGAACAATAAATTTATTCTGCACTATGATGCATCTAAACCTGATTCCTACATTATGTACTTGGATGCAACCAACTTGTATGGTTCAGCCATGTCACAATATTTACCAACGGGTAATTTCAAGTGGCTTGAAGCAGAAGAAATTCAAAATTTGGACTATTTAAAATTAGAAAAAAATTCAAACACTGGTTACATTTTAGAAGTTGATTTAACGCATCCGGAAGACTTACATTATACACATAACGAGCTACCCTTTTGCCCAGAGTCCGTTGCTCCAGAAGGTTCTAAAATTAAAAAACTTATTCCGAATTTTAACCGTAAAGAAAAATACGTTATTCATATTCAAAATTTGCAGCAAGCTATAAGTCATGGCGTGAAATTGGAAAAAATTCATCGTGTTCTCACTTTCAAACAATCACCCTGGCTCAAAATTTATATCGACCTAAACACAGCAAAAAGAAATGCTGCATCCAATAAGTTTGAGAAAGACTTTTTCAAATTAATGAATAATGCGGTGTTTGGGAAAACTATGGAGAACGTGGAGAAAAGGGTAGAAATCAAGCTAATCACTCATTGGGAAAATATTGGTAGGAAACGGGGAGCGGAAGCGTGGATTTCAAAGCCTCACTTTAAAGACGTCACCATTTTCGGTGAGAATTTAGTGGCTATTCATATGGCTAAACAGAAAATTAAATATGATAAGCCTATATACGTGGGATTCGCCATATTGGATATATCCAAGACAATCATGTATGATTTTTTGTATAGCTATATCAAGCCTAAATACGGGAATAAAGCGACCTTACTCTACACAGACACTGACTCCCTTATTTTAAAAGTAGAGACACAAAATTTTTATGATGATATGAGGGAAAATTTGAACAAATTCGATACTTCTAATTACTCGCAGAATAACCCACACAATCTTCCAGTAAACCAATCAATTTTGGGAAAAATGAAGGATGAGTATGCAGGTAAGATTGTTTGGGAGTTTCTAGGTACTGGGGCGAAGGCATATTGCGTTAATGTGGAAGGTGAACTCACTAAAAAAGCCAAAGGCGTGGCTGATTACGTCACCAAGAAAGAACTTAGTCTTGATGATTATAAGACTGCAGTTGACGTAGAAGGTACGCTTACCCATCGTCAAATGAATACTTTCCGTTCACATAAACACGATATGTTTATCGAACTTAAAAATAAGGTAGCTTTATCATACGCGGACGATAAACGCTACGTTATACCCGGTACAGAGTACACACTCGCTTGGGGACATAGAGATATAGAATTGTATAAGGAATCATCGGAAATTCCAGAGAGTCAAGACTGATAGCTTTTTAAGCACGAAGCTTTCAAGGGTTTATAGTTTTAAGGTATTTAGGTTAGGATTTTTTTCACCTATTAGTTTTAGTATTATTTATTCATTTTAGACTTATTTATTCTTATAATGTTATTTATTTGTAAGTTTATTTTTATTTTAATAAAACACTTGTTTTTTGGTTTTTACTTGTTTTATTCCATTTTCATTAATATATCATACAGGTTAAATCTGTGGGCTAAAACTAATTCAAGATGATTTTCGTTCCATGCCATCACTTTATTGGTCCGCATATCAGTCACAGTCAGTCCTTTGCTTTCTTCTTCATGCCAATAGCTAACGTGAATGTATTCCCCAATATAAAAATTAGTATCACACCATCCATCGTTGATCGTATCCAGAAAATTCAGAAAGTCTTCAAATTCATCATTGGTGAGTTTTATTGGGGAATCATTCTTGTGATGTACAATAACCTCCTTTTTCTCTCGATTAAATTTGAC